TTAGCTGTACGACCAGGGTTGGGTAAAATGCTTTTTGAATTGCATTTAAAATGCCAAATGCAAAATACCTGAAAAAAATGTATTTAAGATGCAAAATGTAAAATGGATTTTCCAAATCCATTTTAAATGTAAAATGGATAAATAGGTATTTTAAATGGTTTTCAAATGCAAAATGGTTTTTTCTAGTATATGCAGTTTATTTGGTTATTAATATAACATATTAATATAACATATTAATATAACATATTAATATAACATATTATATATGTTTATTTGATAAACGCGCTGTTTAATTTGAGCAGCAATTGTTTTTCAAAAATATCATCGTGCATACGTCGACGATTGGGGCGCATAATCATACCTCCGTATGAAAATAAGCGTTCTACTGGTGCAGACGATGGTAGCGCAGTATTATATTTTATAAAAACTTCTTTAATTGTGGGAACTGCATTAAGCGAGTCGAAACATGTATCTTTATTCTGCAAATACTGCAAGCATTGCAGTTCAATCGTATTTTTAACGGAGGTGCGGGAGGTGTTTGAAACACTTTCATCCGAAGATGACCCCTCAAAGACAAAAAAGCTTTCATTACTTGTAGCTTCGGATACATTCATCGATAAATCATTTCGAGTTTTTGGTACACTGGTTAATAAAGATTCAGCTTTATTAATAAGCAATCTTTGTTATTAATAAGCAAATCTTTAATAAGCAAATCTATTAATAAGCAAATCTTTGACATAATTTATTCTTTCTTTTGGTACCCAACGTAACTTAAAGAACGGATGGCTTACAGCTGCTAAAATAGCATCATTTGCTTGATAAGAAAAGTTAAAGTAATCATTAAATCTTTTGTTTAAGCCCTCTAACAGTACAACTACTAATTTCATACAGTATTTTAAATCCCGGAGTTGTAGCTTTTGCAATTTCTTTTGCGTTTGCAGCAAAACTGGTAAAAGTTCGCCATAAAAACAATTTTTTTCACCTTGTAGCCTATTTAATGCTTCCGCGATTGGTTTGACGCATTCAATGTATTCTGCTAAGAATTCAAAGTCAGTGTCCTTAAATTTTGGCAGTTCAAGTGCATCGCAAACACTACCAAGAAATTGTTTGACTGTAATGAGGTCATTTAAGCAATCAAAGGTTGAGTTCCAACGAGTGACACAGGGTGATGATGAGGCCTTTCCTGTAATAGCGGCATATGTCTCAGCAGCTTTAGGAGATCGAGATGTTAAATTCCATATGGCAGAGCATTTTCCAAAGGCAGAATGATGGGAACGATTATAGCTCCCTCCTCCAATGTTTCCAGATACGGACCCTGTTAATGCGGCTTTAATGTCCACTGTGGCTAACAGATTTAGTGTATGACTCGCACATCGCTGATGTACAGGTAGAAATATCTCGGATATGGAATCGGAGTCACCCGCAATTCCCTCAGGTATGCCTTGTATAACGAAATCATCGTCTGAGACGTCTGAATCATCATTGTCGCTCTTATCCAACTCGTTTGTTTGATTGTTCTGGCTAAATCTCGAAAAGGCTTTCACCATGTTTGACGCATTGTCCGTTGTTACTTTTACAACTTTTCTTGTGTCAAGTTTAAATTCACAATGTATATCGTGAATCATTTCAGCAATCATGTCGTAAGAGTGCTTACCCTTAAACCTGCGACAAGCCAAAGCCGCACTTTCCCTCTGAAAACTTGCGTTTATCTGTGAAAAAAACATACATTTAAATACAAAGATATTGGCTGCGTTCAGCAGAGAAAGTGCTCACTGAGCACTCAGTGAGCACTTTCTCTGCTGAACGCGACCATTAACGAATTAATAAAAACTCGTTACACGAAAAAATTTTTATTTCTTTTCTCTGAATATAATCCACAAAGTCATATATAACTATTCAAAATGGTAAATTTCTAATAACACTTGATGACTTCATCTTCAGTTAAAATTTGAATACATCAAGTCGAATTATTGCCAAATAACTGCCGATACAACAAATTTCATAAAATTTCATGAAAGAATCATTACTCCTAACATAACAAATCAACGTAGCTTTCAATTTGCATTATGCATTATAAATTATTATATAGGTAAAGCTAATAGGTATATAAAACTTACCCAGTGAGCAGTTATCCCAAGGAAACTTCTTTTCGAACTCGACCAAATATCAGCTGTAGTACATACGTACGTAGTCCGTTCCAAAGCTTCTGTCAGATGCTGTAGCATGGCTGTGTACTTAGTATTCACCTTTAACCGTAACGTCTTCCTTGTCATTATGGTAACAGAATTATTGATACCTGAGAAATTAATTCATCAACAATATTGATAAAAATAATAATATATACCTCAACAACAATATAAATTAGATTATCATTACTGAAGAATGAACAAGTGAATAAATTAATGAATGCAGAATGCATTAACGAATAATCGAGTTAAATGCTATATTATTACCACATATAAGGTTTTTAAACGCCTTATGTTCTACGATATCCATTGGAGACATTGTCTCCACAACGAAGGAAGTAATGAGATCATCTACAACTTGTTTATTGCGAGAAAATGCGTTGTTCAGAGAAACCTGCCGCTGCTTCTTCTGCATTGTAGTTGTAGTAATGCCAGGTTCATTATTATTATCGATGTTATGAGGCCTTTTTCGTGGAATCTTGGACTGCTTATCTTTATATTCCTTATATTCCTGTATGGAGTGACCTTTCGTCTGCATACAAAGAAAAAACCATACTTTTACTCTTAATAGTTAATAGACCAGCAGATTAATATACAGTTTGTGTTAGATCAACATAAAAACCTATTGACTTATAACCTAGACCTAATATATTTATATGTATATATACAATATTTATACATAAATATGTAGATATATAAATACAAATGTAATGTTAACCCTCAAAGTTCAAACACACCTCTGGGATACGGTAACCTAATCTAACCTAACCCTAACCTAACCTAGTCTGTGTTGGAAACACGCGCCAGCATTTCTAAACGGCGAGGAGTGGGGGGTTGGGACCAGGAGGAAAAACTTACACAAATTGGTACATTCCCACATAGCACACTTCATCCCGAGGATATCCCAAATCCCAAATTGATTCAGAAGTCCAATGCGATCGCATAAATATCCTACGGTCTACGGTTATTGAGATATTCCTCGGAATATCGCGATAAAGTGTGCTGTACTGCTGTATGGGTACTCGGGTAGATCCCAAGATATAAAAAAAGAGGAAAACACTGAGTTACGTTAATCCTTGTAGTGTTAACGGGTGGCTCAGGAGGTGTGGTGTTTGAGGATTAATGAAAATGATGCTAACTGATGCAAAAATGCTTACCTTCAAATGATTCAAAAGGGACTCTAGCGGACGTTAAGTTCAACGCGACCATAAAGAAAATTGTTATTCGGCCAATCACGGGACTTGGTTTCTCTTAAGGTCCCATTTCATCGACGCTACGATTTGGCCCCATTTTACAAATGGTTAAATGTAATAAAATTGCCATTTCAAATGTAAAAGAGAAATGGTTTTCCAAAAAGCATTTAAAATAGAAAATGCAAAATGCCATTTCCATTTTAAATACATATTTAAAATGGAACCATTTCGAATGGTTACCCAACCCTGTGTACGACATTCTTTTACCTGGGCAGCTATCATTGACTTACTAAAATTGATCAACAACCTCTTCAACAGACGAGATGTAGTTCCAGAAACAAAGTACAAACTATTGCAGTATGTACCAATGGAAATGGATTCCATGAAATATCATTTTTATTGTCGCAATTGCAAAACATACTTAGGCGAACGGACAAAGGTCAAGGCTGGAAATTCGATTATCTGCACTTGTGGTTCAGTAGTCGATGAGTCAGACTGCTCTTTTTTTATCACTGGGCTTTAAGTCTCAAATAAAGAAACTATTACAAAATCAAGAAGTCCGAGAAAGCCTGAAGTATCGATTTCAAAGGATAAAGTTTAATAGTGATTCTATTGCGGATAGATGTATATGATAATATGTACAATATGTACAAAAAGTTATTTGAATTTGATGGACCATTGAGTACTCAATGGAATCTATCATATACATTAAATACAGACGGGTGCCAAGCTGCAAATTCCAGTAAAGTAACTGTATGGCCCATTTATGCTACAATAAATGAATTGCCACCAAAACTCAGGGCAAAACACACGCTTCTCATTGGATTATGGGCCGATAAAAATGAACCTGATATGAAACTTTTCTTATCACCGTTTGTCAAAGAAGCAAATGAGTTATCAATTGATGGACTAAAATGGCAACTTAACAAAGACACATATTATAACGAGTTTTATCATCCCAAGCGCCTGTTGCGTTGATTCTATTGCTCGAGCGGACATGTTGAATATGAAACGAATGAATGCTGTTCATGGGTGTACGTTTTGCGAACATAAAACTGAGATTGTCGACGGTTATCCGAGATTTACAATGTCCACGACTATTTTTCCTAATCGCACTGATGAATCGATCAAACAAAACATGGTACGTGCTTTCAACGAAGACACCGATGTTTGTGGTGTTAAAGGACCATCTGCATTGATGAATTTGACGTTCTTCGATTTGGTCAATGGTATGGTTCCGGATTACATGCTGTTCACGCGTAGATTTGAATAGCGCGCTAGTAGAGGCGCCCGCGTAAGCAAATTTAGTTACAGCGCTACCGATTAGGAGAGGCGCCAGCGTAGCCAATTAATAGCAGCGCTTAAAGCGCTTCCGGCTAGGGTCAGAAGAAGACTTCCGCTCACTGTCTTGTACGCACTACAATAAAGAGTACAAAGTTCTCAACTACTGAATCTTGTGATAGTACCTATCTCAGGCGTGTCCTACCTGTTTCACCATTCATCCTCTGAGATTCATCGGCCGTAAAGCCGTAACATTGGTCCTTCGAGCCGGATAAAGCAAGTAAGAGACACTCAACATCGCAAGATTCATTTCGCAATCTCGACGTGCTCGGGATACAGAATGGCGGCCCTTGATAAACTAATCAGGCGTCGAGCCTACGTGAAAGGGCGTATCACCTCGATATCAAATTGGGCAAGTTCGTTTGATGCATCGACGAATAAGGCTTCCGAAATTACGGCTATGTTGAACGCGTTGGAACGCTATCGCGTAGACTTCGCGCAGCTGCAGGATCAAATCGAAGATTGCGTAGGTATATCGCCGGACGAACAAGAATGGGAGAGAGGGGAACACGAAGACAGTATCGTACGAATAGAAGCTCGTCTCCGTGATTTGCAACTAAGTGTCACGGAGGCCGGTCAGGCCACAATCGGGAATGATACGACCATGGTAACCTCAAATTCACGTGCGGCCTCTATGGATCTTAGTACATACGCTACGATAAAACTACCTGAAATCAAGATTACAACATTCGATGGAGAATGGGAAAATTGGCTCAGCTTTAAGAACGTCTTCACTGAGCTCATCCATAATAACCAGCAGCTAACGGATGCTCAGCGTTTCTATTATTTACAATCTTATGTCATTGCAGGTTCCGCCAAACAGTATATAGACTTGCCACTCACAGCGGAAAATTATTCAATCGCTTGGAAACAACTCCGGGATCATTTTGACAACGAGTCAAGAATCGTCAAGAAACACGTCAAGGGACTGTACGAATTGAAGAAATGCCAGGAAGACTCGGCACCATCGCTTCAAACATTAATCGACGGCATATGGAAGAACTTTCACGCTCTAAAGGCGCTAAGGCAGCCCGTTGATCAGTGGGATGCATTGCTAACGCATCTCATCCTGACAAAACTAGACGCAAGGTCGAGAGGCGAGGTAGAAAAGGCAGCGCCTTCCGACAGGCTGCAGACATTCACGGAATTGATGACGGTACTGGCCGACCGCGTCAGAATTCTCGAAGCCGTGTCGTCTGTGGAACCGAACAAGGCTAAATCAAAGGTCGATAAGTCAAGTAAGTCGTTAGTAGCAATGAATGCATTGCCATGTTCCATATGCAAGGGTGAGCATGCTATATTCAGATGTAAGTCGTTTTTGGATATGACTCCTCAATTGAGGTTAGAAACCGTTCGCAAGCGTTCCCTGTGCTATAATTGTCTCACGTCTGCGCATACCAAACAGGATTGCAAGGCAGGGAATTGTCGAATCTGCCATAAGCGTCATCATACGCTGTTACACTTAAAAACTAGTGCTAGCGTTAATCAGTCTACTCCACAGGCATCTAACGTTACTACCTCCTCCACGGAAACTGTTGCGTCGAATGCTGGTCAGGAAATTAAAACACAGCCCACAACGGCGTGCAGTCTGCATGTCAATTACGATGTTAAGCCAGGCCCGGTTCTATTGGCGTCCGCTATTGTTAAGATTCACGACAGTTGCGGACGAGAGTACCTAGCGCGGGCCTTATTAGATGGTGGTTCGCAGTTTAGCTTCATGACGGAGCGTTTACGTCAACTCCTGCAATTAAGGGGAAAACGGGGACGCTTTGATGTGACGGGTATCAACTGCACGAGGACAGCAACTAACACCTCCGTGCATGCAACTATCAGGTCTCGTCTGTCGAACTTTACAGCTTCCTCCGAGTTTCTGATCACTGACAAGATCACGGGTGATCTACCACAGCAAGAAATTACGGTCTTGAAGATATCTAACCACATGCAACTGGCGGATCCTCACTTCAATGTGCCGAACCGGGTTGATATCCTCATCGGCGCAGATATCTTTTGGGAGTTGCTTACTGGTGAAATAATAACAAC